CGGCAGCCCTGCTCTGCTGCCGGCTGTGTCGGAGCACCTGGTTTCCTTTGGCAGTGGGGAAGTAGCTGGATGCTGCCGTAAGCTGTATGGTGACAGATGCTGCCTGGTGACTGGTGGCCGGTAATTACTGGTCGAGGCTGCCACGCGAGCGGGATGTTCTTGCTGAACCCGATGCTGGAAATGTTATTGTGCAGCATTTAATTATTAACAGCACTTCTAATAAATTCTCCCTCTGAGCTGATGGCTCCTGAAGGCTTGAAGTAGACAGGGGAATCGCTGAGAGATGCTTCATCACAGCCGAGTCCAAAGCAGGTGTGAGTCCACGCATCCGATGGAATGTCTGTTTTAAATAACGTGCCAAAGGCAATGTAAAACACTGCAATACCCTGGTTCCAGAGCCACAATTCGAGGCCAAGGCTTCAGCAACTTTAGCACTAAAAGTTTACCAACAGAAGTTTTGATTCCAGCCAGCCACAACAGTTTGGTGCACTCTCAGTGTCAAAAGTCCATAGAGGAGAGGGGAAAAAAGCCCCGGAGCAGAGATGCGTCTGATACCTGCTTTGTCTCAGCATGGAGTGAGTGGTGCATAGTGTGGAATGCTGGATCAAAATGCTTGGAGAGAAGAAAACTGATCCAGCCTCTTCTCTGGTGTCCAAGTGCTCCTGGCAGAAATGTGGGAACGATCATAAAGAAACTCTCTGCTTTGATTTTTGCCCAATTAGTGGGGGTGTGAGGGAGCTGGCACCCCGGCCAGGCGCACCGGGCTGGGGGGGCACATGCCACACGCAGCGCAGCCCATGTTCACACAGTATTAACAGCTCTGCTCCCATTATCGTCTCAGAGAAAGCAGCCTTATCTGCTGAGCCTCCATTAGGGAGAGGCTCCTGGCTACCCTTTGCTGGGATAATTTGCTCAGATAGAGCTAATCTAATTCTACAACACAGCTGCACAACCAGAAGCCCTTTTACCTTCGGGGCTCCTTGTTGTTTGGCACGGGATACAAGATACTTTGCGTGAGTTATCATTCAGACTTGCTGCCTGAGAGAAGACAGCAAAGGGGCAGAAGTAGTGCTCGACCAGCTCCTGCCAGCAGCAGTTATGGCTGCTGGGGGTATGTACAGGGAATTAATCAGATAGGCTGCGGACGGGCATTTTGTGAGGGCCGTTAACAGTGCCACGTCCAGCAGCCATTAAAGGCAAAACAGCGTGTGGGGAGCAGTGGTCAGGGCAGGGAGTGCCAGGGTGCAATGCCCCCGAAGGAGCTAGGGGCTGGGGAGGGTCTGTCATGGCGAGTCCCCGCGTGTCCAGGTCCGGCGGTCTGTGGACGAGGTGCTGTGCTGGGGTTACGCAGCAGCTCAGCCCGCTCTGCTCACGCCAGAGCTGGTGCAGTGCATGTCCTCCAGCACGCCCTGGCCCTGCGCTGGCGAGAGGACTGGTGGGCTCTGCACCGCTGCGGCAGCTCTCGCCATGCCCGCGGCTCCCCGGGGGCCAGGGAAAGGGTCTGCGTGGTGCAAGTGCAGGGTGAACGCGCCCAGGAGGCAGGGGGACCTGGGGACAGGCGCCTGGAAACAGCCAAGTGTAGAGCACATCACAAAAAGAAGGGAGAGAGGATGATCGCAAAGCTAAAGTGGAGGGCGTCAGGACTCGGTTTGTGGACAGCTTGGGTGATCCCAGACAAATTATTTAGCTTCTGGATAACCAGCTTTTAAAGTGGGGATAATGATAGTTCCCTTCTTTTTCTGCCTAGTAGCTTGCAGTGCTTGCATGCGGTTCTTAGCAGAGGGAAGCCCTCTGCTTTGAGCTTGTGCTATCTTACTAGGACATGTTGGTACTGCTCTAGTGTGAGAATTAATTAATCCTATGTTAATTAATTAATGCAGACTTGAGAGAGCAGAGGCATGCTTGGTCCTTACAATTATTGTCTTCCCTTGCTAGCAAGGAGGTAGGAATTTTCCTCGCTCCCTCTCTGTTTTAAGCTGAAAAGTGACTGTCACGCGAAATTGTGTAGCCCCGTTGTTATTTCCTCTCAGCAATGCCACATTTAATTTGCTGAGTTTTCAAGTCAAATGCCAAGACATTCTGGGATCTGAAAGGCAGGCTGATGCTTTGCAGCCTCTTCCATCACTGCCAGCGCTTCAGCTGGTGATTCATGAGGCAAGGTAGGATTCGGCTCTCTTGCGGCAGCTGCCGTGGTCTTCTGGAGTGAGCAGGGATAAAAGCTTCTTTCGGCCAAGAATGACAACACTTATTTTTCAAATATGCAGGGAGCAGGGGCTGCCATGTTGTACAGCCCTGTCGCTGAGTTTTTACTGTTTTTAATTAAGCTTTGGAAATGCGGTGTTCTTGCAGCAGCAATGCAGGTGTGTGTGTAATGAGGGCTGAAGGCTGGTGCCACCTGCAATGAGGGAGAGTAACTCTGCTGTGGCCTGCTGGAAACAGCCGTGCAGTCGAGCTGTGCAGGGGGTAGAGCCCTCGAGCAGAAGTTCTGCAGGCAGCCCCTCAAACAGAGAGCTTTGAACAGGGGGACCAAGGGCTACGAGGGTCGGTCATCGTTGCGCAGGGCTCCTGGCCATGGCTCGGGCTTTCTGGACCACTTAGTGCCTGCCCTGTAGCACAGAGCTGGCCGTTCAGTGAAGCTCTGCGTGTGCAGCTTGCGAAGCCTGTAGGGATTTACAGCACTTGAAAATGTGGAACACTGATACTATTTTGATTCTTGTTTATAACCGAGGAAAAAGTATCTGCTCCCCATAGTGTTTGAAAAATGGTCTCAATGAGTGGCTTCTTCTCACTGCAGATTAATCTGGACAGTACCATGAAGGTTATTAGCAGGAGATCCATTTTGGTGGCTTACGGAGAGCCCGTGCACCCCATCATGCAGTTCGACCCTTCTGATTCCACCTACCTCTATCTGATGACCTCCTATCAGGTGAGATCTTTAATCTCCAGCAAAATGGTCCTCTGAGCATCATGCATTTGATTTCGCATTCAGTGCTAAGCTGGGAGCCGGAAGGGACAGTAAAATTTACTTTTAACCATAACAGGCAGAGCCAAGAAATTCAGAGCTTTGCCTGGGGTATCAAAGGGCTTTCCAGGGGGGTACCTGTGCCTGTCCATTCTCCTGCGTGGGGTGGGCGTCAGGCCGAGCAGACTGGCTTGTCAGGCTTTCTCGTCTTTGTGGTAGCAAGGTGAAAACAAGAGTAAAAGATATTGAAAGCAATCCCACTTATGGGAGTGCAGATATAAGCAGAGGTTGTTCCTGCACAGAAACCAGAAAATTACGGTGCATGGTGTTTAAGGAGGCTTTTAGGAGATCCTGCAGACAAAAAGTCTGTCTGTCAGAACCGATCTCTGGGGAAGGTTTCTGCCCAGCGTGGCTGGCAGGAGGGCTGGGTGGGAGGAGGCCTCTCTGCGGAGCCCAGAACGCCGCAGCAGGTAGAAACAGACGGTCTCATCTCCGTCAAGTGAGCAGAGGGGGAAGACTAGAGCTGAGCGCTCCAGGCACTGCTGGTTTGTCCTGAATTACGTTTTAATCTGTCAAAACAGATGCACAGCCACAAATGTTGTCTGTTGCGTTTATGTTTTCCAAGCCCTAATTCCCTGCAGATTGGTCATTATCATTTCGCAGAGCCCTCCTGGGATGCCTCTTTAGCCGATGTTTCAGGCGGGCTCAGCTCGGCTCCCAGGCTGGGCTGTGCGCTTTATTCGAGCTTCGTCAAACACCCAGTGCAGCACTCGTGATGCTCTCCTCTGCCTGCTGCTTTCCAATAAACCTGATGAGCTGATTGTTCTTTGGAGGAATTAGCACCCTGGGAAGTTCCCCGAGAGCTCGGTGGGGTCGGGGGGAGTGCTGAGCTCCGCAGCAAAGTGCTGCGGGTGAAGCGGGGTCGGGCCGAGGAGCCCATGGTCCCAGGTGTGCTCACCTGGACGAAGCTCGGGGCTCTCAGCACCTCACGTTGTCAGTCCCCACTGTACCAAATGACCAGTTTTCCTTCCTAAATGCTTAGAAATTGAGGGAGGGAAAAGCAGAAACCAACCCATGCTTTCCCTCCAGCTGCTCCTGCTGAGCAAGTCCCCAGAGGTACTTTGATTTCTTTACAAATTAAGGTTTCCAGAGTGGTTTTGCTTTCTGGTCACTTTATAAATAGTCGGATAGCTCTGACCTCTGTCTAGAAGGGAGCTTTCTGCAGGTCTGAGTGAGAGCTTTTCGCAGGGAGGGCCAAGCTGTGAAACCATCTCCGTCTGGCGCGTCAGAAAGGTGTGGTGTTGCCCTCCGTAGCCTGACCGTCACACGCTTGTTGCCGAGGTGCCGGCTGAAATGGAGCAGCTCAGCTTGGCACATGGGGCGGCTGCGCCGGCGGCAGGCACCATCCCTTGGCATCCTTACCTGCCCCAGGCTGTGCCGGGCGCTGCTGGGGACACGGGCAGGGCAGCGGGCAGCAGCCTGTGCCGGTCCCCATGCGGGCTGCCTGTACAGGGACCACCCACCTCGGAGCGGTGCGGGATGGAGGGCTGCCGTGCTGGGGTCTGCTCATCACCGTCCAGGCTAACGGGTGAAGCCGCCCGAGACGCTGGTGTCTCGTCGCTCGCTACGTGTGGCCGTTCTGGCGCAGCCCTGTCAGGGTGGGCGTCTCTGTGGGTCGTACACCGTTCGGAGCAGTTGTGCTGTTGTCGTGCAGATGACGCGGGTGAAGGTGGCTGCCTGCAACCAGTACTCGACATGCACGGAGTGCCTGGCTGCCGCTGACGCCTACTGCGGGTGGTGCACGATGGAGACCAGGTAGGACCGGGTGTGTCCTGGTGTGCTTCGGTGTGTCCTTTGGCCCTCAAGCCCGGGCAAGAATTGCTGGTGCCTTTTATATTTCCAGTCACACTACTGTTAGTCTTTGTCTATTCCTTATGAAACACATGCTTTTAAAAACACTTGCATCTGGTCTCAGAAGGGTTGGGATGCTCTTCAGAGCCAGGATTTAACTGTAGCTGCATTGTTGTGCTGCGGTCAGCTGCCAGTGCTAAGCGTATCTTGCAGGCATCCAGCCGCGGGACGGAGAGAGCCAACACCCTCTTAAAGACCGTCTTTTGCCCTCGCAGTTATTATTTATGTATAGGAGATAATCAACACTCAAAAAGGGATTTATAAAATTAGACTCTGCGTTTACAAACTGAAGAAGTTGGACAAAATGTCACCTTCTCTTCAGTTCCGGGCTCAGCCTGCCTGCCCTCGCTTACCCTGAATCCCGATGCTCCGTTGGTGCTGGTGGGAGCACACACTCATCGTGGCAACCAGACAGCTCAAATACAGCAGCAAAGCTTTAGGCTTAGCTGCAAGGATAGAGGAAAAAGGTCTGGGCACAGGACTTTCTCAGGATCTTCCCTCACAATGAAGATGACATTTTTATCACCTGCTTTAAAAACAGTCGACCACGAATTATTCTCCTGTTTGTTGCAGGTGTTCTCTGCAGCACGAGTGCGCGAACTTCACAGGGGCCAACTTCTGGGCGAGCGCAAGTGAGGGAGTGCAGCAGTGCCCTTCCATGACCATCTTGGAACCCGAGATTAGTGTCGACAAAGAGAACCCGGTGCGTTTGGTGTGAATGCCAAATTAATTGTGCGCTGCGTCCCACAGAGTCGTTACCTGCTCTCGGGGCTGATAAATACCCGTGCTCCCCTAGCGCAGCAGCCCAGCTCTGCGCGGCTCGGATGTGGGTCGTGGGGGTGCTGAGCTCTGAGGCACGTTACCGAGTCAGGCCAAGGTCCCCCCCACACCTTGGCACGCTGGAAGCCGGCAGCAGGACGCGGGCGGCCGTGGGGCTGCGGAGCCTGCAGGCACACGGGGCTTGCAGAGCTGCTGCACTGAATGCGCTGGAGACATCTGCAGTTTCGAAATGCGGAAGACAGGCTGCAGACAGCTGAATCATCTATTTTCTTGTTTTGTATTTTTGCTATTTTT